CCAGGTGTGGCAATTCTGCACAAAGGGAGGAGGGCTCCCCTTATCTGTGGAGGTGCTTACCAGTTCATAAAGGAGTCTTTATGTTTCGAGATCCAGCAGGAAAACCCAAACATGGCTCGACAGAACATAGTCTGGATTCTGCTTGGAAGTGGAACGAGGTGAGCTCCTGAGATCATGTTTGCTCTACGGTGCTCAGACGAGGAGGAAACGGAAAGAAACGTCCCTCTCTGGTTATACTGGTGTGCTTAGCCATCCCCCTCCCTCACCTTTTCCCAACGAACACCACCTTATCCCTTATAATCACTGCCAGGAATAGTGACTGAGCACACCCCGAACACAGTGTAGTCCAAGGAATACAATAATGATTTTTTGTTTTTGAGAGACAGGGTCTCGCTGTGTTACCCAGGCTGGAGTGCAGTGGTGCAATCATAGCTCACTGCAGCCTCAAACTCCTGGACTGAAATGATCCTCCTGCCTGTCTCCTCATCAGCTGGGATTATAGGCATGCGCTAGCTACATTCGGTTTACTTAACTTTTTTTGGGGGGGGGAGTAGAGATAGGGTCTATGTTGCTCAGGCTGGTCTTGAACTCCTATCCTCAAGGGATCTTCCTGCCTCATGCCCCCCAAGTACTGCGATGACAGGTGTGAGCCCCACGCCCAGCCTACAGCCTACAAGGATGAAATTTAAATTTGTGAAAACTGGAGGCTTCACAAGTGTTTACATGAACATTATGTGCAAGTTACATGCAGGCAACATTGGAATACATACCCGCCTAACAAAGTTTCTCGGGATAAAATCCTAATGGGTTCACTTGTGAGAGATGGTGGTTTCAGCGTATTGCTGCTCTGGGGAAAAGTGTGGCTCTTCTGTTCATAAGGAGTGCAGGGGTGCCACACACATTTAAATAAGCTATGTTTAACCTACTGAAATGCTCAAGGAGGAGGAGTATTTAAATGGTATTACGTATCATACGGCAAATTCAAGCCATTGATTTTTTGCGCTTTACTTCCTGGCTTCCAGGGCCATTGTGATGAAGTGGAAACTGGTTTAAGAACCTCCAACTGTTAATTGTGGAGAAGTTTTCTAAAAGACTCAGAAAAGCAAATGAATTCAAGAAAAGTCAACATCTGGAAGTGCAGCGTTGGGGAAAATCATCTTAGTTGCCATTTCAACTTTCGCTCAATAGGTAAGACAGGTAATTAGGGGAAAGCACAAGTTTCTTGGAACAAGTGCTAAGGAACTGTAATGATTAGAATGTACTTGAATATTCAGCTTGAAGCCAATTTTACTTCTGTGTCCTTAGAAAGAGAGAGGGATGACAATGGGAGTAATTCTAGCCATAGCCAGATGGAAGAAAGTTCTCCAAGTGTTCTGTGGCTTCCCCCTTTGAACAGGATAGAACATTGCGTTTCTGATTTAGAATAAAATGAAGAAACGAATGAACCAAAGTCCAAGCAAAGCAATGCTCAACCACGGACACTCAATTCAGGGCGGGGGACGGCATGGCTTCCGACTTTCTACCTCACAGCCCAGGAGAGGACAGGCAGCCTCGGAAACCCATGTGTCCTTTTTCCAACCTTACACTTCCAGGAGGAAGAGAAGGGAACAACATGGGCCTCCAGATTGGCTCCTGACACCTCTGTGGGCCTGTGGCCCAGCCTCCCACTGGCTCACACTCGCACAGGGCGCACGGCCACCATCCCACCTGAGCCTTGTACTCAAGATCCTGTGTGATGGCCCGGAGTGAGGCCCAGTGGCTGGCCCTTTGCCGGTGTCTCCCACACACTGTTGAGCGAATGGACAAGGTGAAGTCGGTGGCTGTGAGTTAGCTGTGGGGCTTGCTGTCTGCCACGAGCCTGAGCTTTGTCTGCTAGATGTAATTCCTATGCTCACTGGGGGAGCAGGACGATAGGTGTGCCAAACTAAATCCGAACTTTGTTGTAATTCTGGTGCCAGGTGGGTGAGGATTCCGGGGTGGGGGGGGAGGGAACCAACCTTTATGGAACCAATCATCAAGAACATATACAGTCATAAGATTCAGTTCAAGACAGCTGAATGACAACAGTGAAATCAAAATTTCCACAGACTTTGTTCTTCTTCCTTTTTCTTTTTTTTTTAAGAGACAGGCCATGTTATCCAGACTAGACCCCCCAAAACTCCCAGGCTCAAGTGATCCTCCTGCCTCAGCCTCCCCAGTAGCTGGGACCACAAGGCACCGGCTACCATGCTCAGCTTCAAATGGCACTTTTGCTGGGCTCCCAATTGTTTTATTTCAGACCACTCTTATTTCTTCACGTAGAGCAATGACAACAATATTTGCAATGAAGGCTTTACTCTTTACAAATTACTTCAAATATATCACCTGATACCACAACCCCACACTTTCGTTATTATCACTGATCATTACCTGAGTTGGGAACTCACTTTGTCACCCAGGCTGGTCACCAGTGAGAGAATCACAGCTCGTTACAGCCTTGACTGCCTGGGCTTAGGTGATCCTTCTGCCTCAGCCTCAAGCTCACCACCATGCCCGGCTTTTTGATTTTTTGTAGTGACAAAAAATAATTGCCCAGGCTGGTCTCAAACTCCTGGGCTCAAGCAATCCTCCCGCCTTGGCCTACTAAAGTGCTGGGATTACAGGCGTAAGCCACTGCACACTTTATAGAAATTCTATCTTTTGATATGTCAGGGATGAATTCAAAACCACTCTTTGATAGGATTCACAGAAATCAAATGAGAATTATTCTTTTTCTCTCCACGGGGCAGTGCCAACAGGGAGGGGGCTCTCAGATGTTATCCGACAAGGTTCAAGACGCCTAACAGATGATTGTTTTGCCCTGTCTTTAACCAGGGAGAATGGAGCACTGGATGGAAGTTGGAGAGAGACCTCTCCCAGCAAAACGATATGATTCTGGCTATACATCTTGAGATTTCTGCATGTTAGTTTTCTACAGAAAAAAACTGCCCATTACGGAACCAGCTGTCATCACTTAACCCACCTTACACAGCCGAAACTGCCACAGGCGCAATGAACCATATGAGAGGATGTACCCCAGCTCTCCTGCCATACTTAAGGGTGGTAGAGTGAGGCTGCTTTCTATCATTGTCTAGAAGTCAGTGATAAGTTAAATTTTGTTTCTTCTGGGAGAGTTGGAGGAAGGATAAACAGAGAACAAGAGTGACGCGTACTGCCAAAGTCTACAGTCACCAGCAGGTGGTGCTGTGACAAAAGCAATCAAGAGAAACCAGGTAGGACAGGTTGGTCTCTGGGCCCCAAGCCGGCCCCTGGTGTCCGTCTTGAAAGCCAGTATTCCCAGCACGGTGGCCGAAGGCAGGAAGGTTGAGGGCACACACAGGGTAGTGTGGGGTACCAAGCAACCTCTAGGGTCCTCGGTCAGGAGCTCATATTCTCCCGGCGAGGCTGTAGCCTCACCAATGCTTCTCAGCTTCTGCTGTAGCTTCTTCCTGCCTGTCCCCAATTTTCTGGATTTCCCAGCAGGAAGGAGTGTAGCAGGCAGGGACGACCTACTCCCGGATCCTTGCAGATACCAGGGCTGCAGGGATCTTCAACTGTTGAGCGCTTGGCAAGAGCATGGAGACCTACTAGTCAGTCTACTGCTCCCTGATCACTCAACAGAGGCTCTTCCCAAGCCCCCAAAGTCTTATCCCGTGTCTCCTAGCACCCTGTATGCAGTATGTACACAACGGGACTTGATGATGTAATCAACAGAGCCAAGCACAGCTGAATGGGAGGAGCTGGGAAAACACCAACTCCAAGTCTTGAAGCCCTCTGTCCTACATCAGACACAGAAGTGAGGACATGAGGTAAGTCTCCATGCGGGAGAATGCTGGCCCCACTGGCTGCCCTGGCACAAGGACCCATCACGGACTCCTGAAGCAATTGCTGCCTCCGTTGAGCCCCTCCGCAGGTCCTGACCCCTGTGGTGGTGAGCTGCTGTGGAAGAGATCCACCCTGATGGCCCGGGTCTGCTCCACCCAAGTGACAGGTGACCTCTGCCCAGAGGAGGATTTAAGAACTGAGGAGTCAGAGAGCCAACCTGGATCTCTTGCAGGGACTTAAGACACTGGTGTGAAAACCTGTAGCTGCCATGGCTGCTCCAACCCACGTGGACTAGGACAGAGACTGCGGAGGCAAGAGGCTAGTGAAAGGATCTGGGGCAGGGGTCCCGAGACGGTCTGGCTTCCGCATCAGGGCCAGTGGGTGGTCATGGGTTCCTCACTGGGCTAAATTGAGCTGCTGCTTCTTCCACAGCCCTGGTGAGTTCCAAAGGGCACCACACATAAGCAGCTCAACGTGGACATAAAAGCACAGCCATTGCCAAAGCAAAGCCACTCCACCAGCCACCTAGAGGGACAGGGAGCCCACCACCAAGTCTGCAAGAAACATGAACTGTCCCGTCCCTGAACTGGCCAGGTGCCACCCAAGGGCAGACCTGAAGGAGAAAGCCAGATCTAACTGGGAGGCGAACCAGGAGAGACGAAGACCAGCAGCATCTTCCACCCACGGCTCACAAGCGCAGTGGGGGTGAAGTGGTGGGGGAGGGGGAAGTCCAGTCTGTGACTGGTTGATGAGTCCTCTGGGAATACTAGCTGAAGTGCACCCTCTGTGCTTTCATTATTCGGCCAGTGGTGGACAGTGAGCCAGCCAGCTCTTGAGTTCCCGTCCCGATAAAAGGTACATTAACCTGTTTATGGGAAAACTAAAAACGAACTTGGCTTTGTGAGAGTAGTCTCCTCTATCTATTCCCCTTTCAACATATGCCCTGCATAATAAGAATATACACGGTGGCCATAAGGTTAGTTTCACTACTCCATTCAACATAGCTAGGTTAACTTGTTGGGTGTTTTTCCCTTTAAAAAAAAAAATCCTAGTCAGAAATACCTGATCACCCTAACATTGCATTCATTCCCAACCCAAGCAGGTGTGATCGTCTGCAAGACGCATCTGGCTGCTGAGACAAAAGCAGATGGGCCCAATACTTGGAAATTTCGCATTTATTATAACAAAAATTATGACATGTCCATTTGTGCATTCTGCTTTAATATAACTCTGGGTATGTAAATGGTCTAATGGATCTCTATACAACCATGCTGATTGTGGCAGCAGTAAGGAACACAATTAAAAAGTGTCTGTCAAAGTCAAGAGGCTGGGACAGGAGAGGAAGAAGCCGGGCTCAGGGCCTCTAGGGCGCAGGTCCTTATCCAGTGGTCTGATCCACCTTCTCTGGACAGAAACGCTGCAGCTGCTCAGGCCCTCATTCAGTGGAGTAAGGTGAGTTGTGAAGTGGGCAGGGAGGAAGAGAAAAGTCAGTTACTTAGGCTGTGTCCTTCTGCCAAGACTACAAAACATCTTAAGCATCACTATACAACACTGAGCTATTTACAATAGAAATTTCTCAATCAACTGTTCTCTCAGAGAAAATTAGTGAATCCCAGTGACTTAAGTCACCTGACAGAGTAAAGCAACTCCTAGGAGTTAGTCTCCATATTCTACAAATGTCTATCATTTTCAAGACAAAAAAAGCTTCCCCCCCAAAGAAATAGAGAATTACAATATTATTAAATCATTTAGCAATGGCAACCTGCCCTGTCTTCAAACGAAACAAAAAGCCATTTTAAAAAATATTACATTAACATTAACTGTTTCTCTGTAATATATTAAACCTTTTGTTCTTTGTTTTTACATATCTGATATGTTAGGGGAAGAAGTTAGCAAATTTAAATCATACTGTAAAGCGTCACTAGAAGAAAAGTGGTCGTTATTTTAAAAAACCACCAACGGAAAGAGAACCTACAGATTAGCTGCAAAGACAGGCTGGGGACAGTGTCTGGGACAAGGACGTGGCGCACAACCCCTGGTTTAACGTGAGCCTGGGAGACTCTTGCCACTCGGTCTTTCTTGGCTGGTTTATTGTGTTACACAGTGCTCGCGTGGGTCATAGTGGCGTGTCGTAGTAGTCTGGCAGCTGGTCCAGCTGGTAGTGTCGTGGCGGCGGCGGCTGCAGCTGTGGGGGTGCTGGCGGTTGTTGCTGCTCCTGGTGATGCTTCATGATCTCTTTGACTTCCTCTTCCAGCTCGGGGGGTATGATAAACTGGTCATCAGGATCCGGCTGGGCCGGGGCAGCGAAATAGCCTCCGGGCTTCCGGAGAGGCACGTCTGTGGCCACCTCTATCACGTTGTGGCTCCTCTCCTGGGGTGCGACAGAGCCGTTGGCCCTCCGGCGCCCCATGGTCCCCACGGCACAGAAATCTGCCTTCCTGGGCAGACCTGGCTCGTCCTCGTTGGCGCTGATGACAATGCCCTCGTCACTGGCCTCAGCCGGCACCTGAAGCAGGTGCTGCTGTTTCTCCTTCTCCTTGGCCCGGCTGCAGTGGATGTCCACTTCCACTTCCACCCGGCTGCCGTTGGTGAAGACGCCCTCGATGGGCTCCTCATCATCGCTGTCCAGGCCGTTGTCCGAGAAGGCGCTGGAGAACGTGGCGCTGGACAGCTGGCGCTGGAAGGAATTGGAGAGACAGACCGGGTGGAGCATGCAGCGCTGCTCGCTGGGGTAGGCCGGGCTGCTCTCATTCAAGGCTCCGGATGGGGGCTCGTCAGAGGCGGTGGACCCCACCTCGCTGCTCATCTCAGAGGTTGAGAGCTCACTGCTGATCTCAGAAGCCATGCCGCTGCTGGAGGACGGCACGCCCAGCCCATCGGAGGGCCGATCCTTGATCACCATGTTGACCGAGGGAGGGAACATGCCTGGGCTGGGCGGCGGCACACTCCCGCCAGTGCCAAGCTCACAGCAGCAGAAGCTGTCCTCGGTGACACTGAGCTGCACCACCACAGCACTGATGCTGTCGTGGCAGCCGTAGCTCTGGGCCAGGGTGCATAGCTTCTTGGCAGCCGCCAGGGCATCGGGCACGTTGCGCACGGCTTCCACAGCCTCCTCGATGGACAGGCTGTCCCACAACCCCTTACTGCCCAGGACGAAGAACTCGTCCTGGGGTGTCAGGAGCACAGACTGCACATGAGGGCGAGGTACCACGCTAGGGTGAAGGAAGGTGTAGCCCAGGATGCGCGTGGACTCGGTCACTCCGTTCACCTTGCCATCCTGGAAGAGGGGTTTCCAAACAGACAGTTAGCTCAGCACACCTGTGGCCACCGCACAGTCCCGCTGGGTACCCCGACTGTAGGACCACAGGGAAAGTGTCGGCTGGCCTACAAAGGGAAGAAGTGCACACCTTGTCATGAGTAGCTAATGTGCACCTGTTGTCAGAAACCCCAGGTAGTGGGGTCCTGGGCAGGTAAGGAGCAATAGGGACAGCAGGGAACCAGGTTTATTTGCATTATTGGGACCGTGTTCACACTAGGTAGCAAGCCCTAATGTGAACACGGTCCCAAGTGGTTTCCCTAGAGCAAGCCATAATCTAGCCTTTATAGCAAGCATGGTTGGCTAGCTCTTCCAGCAAACTCTCAGGACCTGAGATAGAGGGCCTTCCGAAATAGCCAGTCTTAAGCAAAGACTCATGAGGAAGGGACATTGCAAGAAAATGCCCTCATGTCTTTTATCACTCTCCAACAGTAGACTGAGCACGAATGGCAGTAGTGTCTGAAGGTCTAGGAGAGGGAACAGACACCAAGTACTGGTGGAGAAAATCTTAGTGTGACTCGCTGGGTAAGAATGTTCATGTTTGGAGAAGCAGATGCTAAAGAGAAGCTGCCAATTCTTATAATTTCCTTGAACCTGATTTCCTGGTGGCAAAGTCTACTGGCTTTTGTTCAGCTGAGCTCATGCCATTTAAATCAGTAGCCAAGTTCCAGATCAGATGCCAGCAAAAAAGATCTGTAGGTTTTTGTTTTTGTTTTTTTTTGGAAAAAACCTTATGTACCTGGCTTGTTCTTTATTCTTCAAGTTTGAGGTCCTCAGGTCCATAATGTGCCTCTACAAGTCCCTGGTTTTATTTATTTTTATTTTAAATATGTGGGGTACAATTCAGGGTCAGGTATACAAATGTTCATTATGCAGGTACCCTAGTTGATGAGGTGTGCTCCCCCACCCCCGGCAGTTTCCCTCAACTGCCAATTCTGCCCCCACCTAGCCACCAGCGGTTCTAAAACCTCTTTCCAGAGAAGGCTCCATTATGACAAATGCACCTTCTAGTGTGTGTCTAGGATAAGCACGTGTTTTTTCCAGAGAATGTCCATTTCCTTTTCATTCCTTCTACTTTCCTTTCTTTGGGATTTTGCAAGGTATTTGCTGGTTATAGGGGGCCCAGCCTCAACCCCTCACACAACCTTGCAAGCAAACAGCATTTCTAGAAGTCAGATTAGTAAGATAGGGCTTCAAGCATGATTTTAAACTCTTTTGATTCTATGGATGTAATCTGCTCCCAAAGCATGGTATTTGGCAAAAACTACTCTTGCTGTCCTGCCCACCCTTTAGATTTCTCTCGAACAGAACCAATGGCTTTTTTGTATTTGTGCGTGTGTTTTGAGGGTGTGCCTCGAGGTAGAGGTGTAAGAAATGATGAAACTACCTCACTATTGAGTGTTGAGCAATGCAGACAAAAGTGAGGAAGAAGACAGGTGCAGACAACTAGGGAAGTCTGATGCACAAACCGCTATTTATGTGGCAGAAACCACTAACTGTCCTGTCCCATTTGGTCTAATGCTAAGCATTTAATTCAACATATTCTGTGAAACATTAGATAGTCTTTGCTCTCTAACATAGTGTCTCCCATTCGTGTTAATCCTTTCTGCTCCCACAACAGGCAGAACTAGAATTTACACAGACTCATTTCCACAGAAGCCCACAGAGTGGCTTGGAGTCTTTCTGCATTCTTCTTATGCCCTCATCAAACTCTGTCTGGAATCAGTCTTTTTTACTACTGGACTATAAACTTTCATCATAGTCTGCCTCAAACTATTCACAGGTCTAAGATTTAACCAGCAATACAAGACTGAAGAGTTCTTGAAGGCAGATGTGTAGCTGCAGGGATCACTGCCACATCCCCACATCATTTGTCAGGCACCTGGTGGGTGACTGACACTGCAAGGTGAATTTAGTGGATGGAGAAGAACCTGGAGGACATTTTGGAAGCTTCACAGATAATGACTATTGTCATAATGTAGATTTACTTCGGGGTTACTCAACAGCAGCACTGTCAACACTCTGGGCCAAATAACTGTTGTGGGGACTGTCCTAAGCCTTGTAGGACGTTTAGCAGCACTCTGTCCTCTACCCGCTGCAAGCCAATAGCTCTCTCCACCCCAGCTGTGAGGACCAACAATATGTCTCTGTACCTTGCCAGAGGCCTGTGGGGGGCAAACCTGCCCTGGTGGAGAGCCACTCATTGCAAGAGAGCCACTCACTGCATTACTCAAATGTAGCACAAGGTAAGAACTAAAAGAACAAGTAGTTACAGATACACAGGCATTCACAGTCCACAAGTCATACTAGCCTTGTATGATAGGACAGATATGAGAAAACTGAGGCTTAGAGACATTTAAAGGCCAGAGCCTGCAAGTGGCAGAGCTAAGCTATGGACACCAGCCGTGATTTAGGGGATAGAGCCCTCAACCACCGAGCCAGCCCTGTGCAGAGTGGCTGAGGGGGATCACGTGGAATCAGGTCCATGAGGCTCCCAGCACCATTCCTGGTACAGAAGCAATCGATAAATGGTTGACTGTTCTATATATTATAATGTCTTTAGTATACCATGCAAAGAATTTGTTTTGTGATATTATGGAATTGGAATTCTAACTTCAAAAGCAGTTTCTGCAGGGCAATACTCCCTGGTGGTTTCTGCTATGACCTGGGCCTCTCCTGCCACCACCCTGAGGAAGATCCCTCCCCTTCTCACCTCAGTGATGATGGCCTTGTGCTGTTTAATCCTCTTTAGCTCTTCTTCACAGCTCATGACATAAGATCTGGACAGAGGCAGCGGTTTCCCATTTCGACAGAGAACTGTCTGGCACCTGCCCACATTAGCAGAGGTTAAGGTGAAGGATCCTCCCGGGTCCACAGGGTCATGCTTGATATGACAAAGGACAGCAGCACCTCCGAGTTTCTGCCCAGCAGTTCCAAGTTTCCTGGAATCCAAAGAGAGGAGTGAAAACCCAAACATAACCCATCACGCGCCAGTTGAATTAATTCAACAGGACAACTGTACCACTGAATAAGGCCAGGAGGGAAACAGATCAGGGAACTCGACTCGGCCTCTTTCATCAGGTCTCAGAGGAAAAGAGCCCCTGGAATCTGACTTCACACACATCCACACCGAGAAACGTCTGCTCACTACTGGGAAGTAGCGTCACTTTACTACTACCAGGCACAGGAGCTGGTCTGGAATGCAGGAGCCCCTGGACTGCTGTGAGCCTGCTCCCCCCATCAACACACTGCCCTATCCGCACACTCCAAACACAGCAGGAAAATGACCACTTCTTTCTTCACCCACATGTCTACCTTCTCTCTGCTCCCAGGGGAGGAACACTAACGAGACCATGTATATAAAAGCAGGAATAAGCACTTCACCCACTGGCAGATACACTTCAGAATAACCTCTCTGCCCATAATAAGGATGTTTTCTGGTATGAGCCTTTAAGTAGTGGGTTGTTCACATTCTTGGCCTGTGTAGTGAAGACCTTCTAGACCAGTACGATCTGTTCTAGAAAATTCACAGAAAGAAGAGTCCGGCAATCAAACACCAAGTGCTTGTGCTTTATTCTTTTATTCATGACCATAAATCTATTAGATGTACTAATAAACACACAAAGCACCTGCATGTTAGAAAATCAAAAGGGACAAAGAACTCCTATTATATGTTCCACAAATTGTAATGCCTCCGAGGCCCCTGCTGTTCCTGAGAGGTACAGGAGCAAGACAGCTAGGAAAAACAGCCTCCCTTGTTTTATGAGAGGGAGATCCCCTCCAAAAAATAATTTCTTTTTTGGGAACCCATTGGCATCAGTGTACCAGCTAGCATTGTTGTGAAAGGCTGCATTTGGTTTCAGTGTATTTTTTTGGGAGATTCTTTCAGTGTGACGAGTGTACCTGCTCACACTGTGATGAGTGTTCAACAGTTTGGGACCAAAATTGGCACGATCCCTGGTTCCCCCCTCCCCCTTCCTATTCACCTGCTCTGGCCCCAAGAGACTTTTGCTTGTTTCCCTGGATGAAAAAAGTCCTCAAAGGGAAATGTTTTGCCAATGTGGAAAAGCTAAAACAAATAACAGCAGAAGCACAAAAAGGCATGAAAATTGACAAGTTCAAAAACTGTTATGAGCAGTGGGAAAAGTGCTCATAACAGTTAGGTGTGTTGCATCAAACGAAGAGTACTTTGAAGGTGACTGAAGTTTAAATATGTAAGAATAAATACACAGTTTTTTATAAATAAATTCTGGTTTTGTTTGGATTCCCTCTCATACAAGAACAGATGCGTAAGTGCTGTCCGCTCCTAAGAGGTGTCTAAGGTAAGCAAATGAAAAGAGCAGTGATGGAAACCAGGTTGCCTAACTGCATATGAGGCGATCTTGCACAAAGAACATATTTCCCCCAAGGACCTAAAAGCTCATCACCCACCTCATACCCTATTAACAAACAGAGAAAATAAGAAGCACACAAAAACCTTTGGAGATGAGCCTAAGATCTGGGTCTCTGAACTCCTACTTCCAGACATCTACAACCAAATATGGCTCTATGTCTTTCCAAGGCAGTTCTACTTTCTCTCTTCCACAGGTACAATGATTTGTAAAAAGTACAGTTAGTAATCGGAATTCAAGGTTCTCAGTTTTTAATCCTCATACAATGCTTGAGGGTCCATAAAAAGTAGACCTCTTGGTGGGTTGTGAAGGGTATGTTTGTGATGTGTGTATACACGTGTGCATCTGTGCGGGTGATATATGTTTGTTTGTTTTTTTTTCTAAGACATGATGGTGGTAAAAACAGGATGTGCCTGGTATTTAGAACATTCTAGAGTTTTGCTGCCGGAGGTCAAATCCTAGATGCACTAACCACTGGCTCTTGGAGCACTTTGCTTCATTTCCCTATTCCTAAGTTTCTCATCAGTAAAATAAGAATAGTAACATTACCTATCTATCTAGTAACAATTTATAACATGTAAGGTATCTAGAACAATGACTGGTACACATTAAGGTCTCAGTATATATTCGCTACCATCATTGTTCAATCGCTAGGTGCACATGCTCATTGGAATCTGAAAGACACAGGTGAGTCCAGCAGCAAGAGCCATCCTGGGCCTGCCCCTGCTGAGCCCTCTGAGAGGAACCATGACTCAGGTCCAACTCTAAGGCTGCTCTGAACACCATTCCTCAGCAGACACTTCTAGCCCTGTTACAAAGTTACCTCCCCTAGCAGATTATCAAGGGAGAGAGAGCAGAGGAGAGGGAAGATCATCATTGTTCCCAAAACCTCTGGAGCACCAGAACACTTGTCACTTCTGAGTTCCACATGAGTGAGTATGCAGTTCAATATTTACAGACAAGCAATTCTTTTGCAACCTATGAAACCCTGATGGTGACAAGAATATACAATTATTTGAGTGAAAGAATTCTTTTTAACACTCAGCCTGAAGTATTACAAACAACATTCCACATTTTCTTTCTTTCTTTTTTTTTTTAGAAAGCAGGACTTATTTAGAGGACAGGAAAGCTTCCACGGTGGGAGGGGACCCTAAGGGGTTGCCCCACAATTTCTTCAGTAGCCTCTGCTGCAGGTGGAGATCTATGCAATGGCCTAGGATTCTACTAGCAGCACTGCCTTAAATATTTACTAAGGGGGAAAAACAATATATAAAGGATGATTTAACTCATGGCCTAAAATCTGACTATATCAATTTCACAAAGATTTGTACTACCTCAAACCAATGATAGTATTCCATAAGGCTCAAAAAACTGGGATAGAAACAGCCACCCACAAGAAGGTCGAAAAAGCTTCTCATGTAATTTGGGCAGAGAGGGAAGGTACTGCAAACAATATGGTGAAAATCTGGCTATCGATACTGGTCTGTGAGGTCCAATTCTCAAACTAAAGCCCTATCATAGCATCAGCCTTATACAAAGTTGTTTGAATATCAGTATGTCTCAGACTGGAGCACAGTCCATGCCTGATGCTTGGGCAACAACAAACTTGCCCAAATGCATCTTGATACCCATAACCAAAAAACACTTTGAGGCCGGGCTCGGTGGCACAGCCTATAATCCCAGCACTTTGGGAGGCCGGGCGTGGTAGCGTGCGCCTGTAGTTCCAGCTACTTGGAAGGCTGAGGCGGAAGGATTGCCGGAGCCCAGGAGGTCAAGGCTGCAGTGGCTGGGAGTGGCCACTGCACTCCCGTCTGAATGACAGAGTGAGACTCCAACTCAAAAAAAAAAAAAAAACACTTTGAGATGACTGGGCATCTGTTTTTGTAACTTGACAGCAAACACTCAAACCTCAAGAAAGCACACAGCAGGGAATCTGAGTGTTACCTTTGCATAACAATGAATGTATTGACCATGTATTCTTCTTCATTTTTTGTTTTCTGCAGCTCTTCAACTAAAATGTCACTCATGGTGCACTGAAGAAGGTAGGGTATCTCCACGTTCCGGTCTCCATCAAACACACCATACAGGGCTTCCCGGTTGTCACAGAAGTTATTCACCGACAGGGCTGCAACACATAATCTGCAAGGCAAGAACTGGTCTGTGCTGGGTCTACTCATTTTCCCTTCTCCATGCTCAGGCCGACTTTCTTTTTCCCCTCAGATTTGTCTATTCCACTTTTGTCTCTTTCTTCATGACTCCAGATAGATGAAGACTAGGTAGGTAAAGTGACCCCAGTAATTTATATCAGCCAATTCTGATAAGCAGAGAAGGATGATTAAGATACTACGCTTTAGGCCGGGTTCGGTGGCTCAGCCTGTAATCCCGTGCTTTGGGAGGCTGAGGTGAGTGGATTGCCTGAGCCCGCGGGTTCGAGACCCGCCTGGGCAGCGAGACCTCATCTCTATAATAAATCAAAAAATTAGCTGGGCGTGGTAGCGCGTGCCTGTAATTCCGGCTACTCGGAAGGCTGAGGCGGAAGGATCGCCGGAGCCCAGCAGGTTAAGGCTGCGGTGGCTGGGAGTGGCCACTGCACTCCAGTCTGAGTGACAGAGTAAGACTCCAACTCAAAAAAAAAAAGATATTACGCTTCCCATAAGACATCCTCCATCTTTCTCTTCTGATAAGTTTATTTTAAAAAGGCAATGAAAGACAGGGAAAGGGAGGCTGGGAGACAGTGGAAGATTATGAATCCATATCCACACTTTCATTCAATAAACAGTTATTACGAAGAACCTTCACATTCGGCCAAAAGAGTGACAATTAGAACACTGGGAAAAATATGTAAAACATATGAAAAGTATGTAAAAATAGAGGAAAAGCCTCAAATGGATATATGAAAAGTCTCAAAAGCAGAAAAATTAAATGAAACAGCATTCAGACACCTGACATAGGAACTGAGAGCTTGCTGTCCGCCCAGCTTCCTCCTGGGCAAAACATCCAGGCTGCACACAGGAAGAAAGACCCAGGCTGTGTGGTTTCCCCACACTGAGCAGACAGAGCTGGAGCTGAGGGAAGACGCGGTACAAGGTGGAATTCCCAGGCAGTACCCTGGGGAAGGAAGCTGCTCAAGGTAGGTGCGGAAAATGGAGACTCTCCCCACTCCAAGTTCAAAAGAGTCAAACTGTTTCCAAAGTAACTTAACTGTGTCCCAGGAACTATCCAAAATGAAACAGAGAGAGAAGACTGAAAAAAAAAAAAGCCTGGGCATTAGTGAGTGGTGAAATAACTTCAAGTAGCCTAATATATGGGTAATTGGAGTCCTCAAAATTAGAGAGAGACAGAAAACATTTCTGAAGAATTAATGGCTGAGGCTGGGCTCGATGGCTCTGCCTGTAATCCTAGCACTTTGGGAGGTTGAGGCCTGAATCCACGGGTTCGGGACCAGCCCAGGCAATTTGGCGAGACCTCGTCTCTACAATAAAAATTAAAAAATTAGTCGGGTGTGGTAGTATGCACCTGTAGTTCTGGCTACTTGGAAGGCTGAGGTGGAAGGATTGCCTGAGCCCAGCAGGATGACACTGGGGTGACTGCAAGCATGCCATGACGCTCCAGCCTGGGCGACAGAGTGAGACTCCCAACTCAAAAAAACAAAAAAAGAATTAATGGCTGAAAACTTCAAATTTGATGAAAAATATACACCTATAGATACAAGAAGCTCTACAAACTATAGGCAAGAGGAATATGAACACCATCGAGGCACATCAAAATCAAACTGCTAGAAACCAGGAGCAAATGTGGGAGGATGGGGGAAGGGGACATGAATGATAGCTGATTTCTCACTGGAAACCTCACAGAAGACAGGGAAGCAACATCTTTAAAGCACTGATGGAAAAATACTAGAAAACAACCTAGATTTCTCAGTCAGTAAAAATAGCTTTGAAAAGTTGAGGTGAAATAAAGCCATTTTCAGATGCTCAAATAAAAGCATTTGCTACTAGAAGCCTGGTGCTACAAGAAATGGAAAAGGAAATCCTTGAAGCGGAAGAAAATGATACCAGATGGAAATCTAGTTCTACACAAAAGAATGAAGTGTACCGGAAATGACAAGTAGGTGAGTAAGAATAAAAATTTTCTTATTTAAAAAATCGCTTTAGAACAGTGGTTCTCAATAAGGGCGATTTTGCCCCCAGGAGACACTTTGATTGTCACGATTGAAGGGACACTGCTATTGGCAACTAGTGAGTGGAGGCCAGGGATGTTACTTAAACAACCTGCAAAGCATGTGACAGCCTTGCCCTGATCGCAACAACAAAGGATCATCTGGCTCAAAAACCTACTGAAGCTGAGAAACACAGCTTTAGAAAATAACTTACTTAAGTAAAAATAACAATGTGTTTTGAAGTGTCTAACAAATGTTGAAGTAAAGCATGACAACAACAGCACAAGGACTTGGACATGAGAAGCAGAAGTACATATTTGTGAGGTTCATACATGGGAAGTGATATTAATATTATTTGAAGGCAAACTGTAGTAAGTTAAAGAAAATACTGTACACTCTAAACAAACCAGGCACCCACATACGAAGTAGAATTAATAAGAACAAATAATAAAATCAAATTGTAAAAAATACTTAATCCAAAAGAATGAAGAAAAAGAGGACAAAGGAAGAACAGATGACACACACAGAAAACAACAGTAAGTTGGATGGTTTAAACCTAGCCACACCAATAATTTCATTAAATATAAATGATCTAAATACTACCCTAAATGACAAAAATTCTGACTGAATAAAGAAGCAAGATGAACTATATCCTGCCTATAATAAATCAATTTTAAATATAAGCAGACAGCTAGGTTAAAAGTAAAACAATAAAAAAAGGTATGCCATGCTAACACAAATCTAAAGAAAGCTGGAAAGGTTATACTAATATCAAAGTATATTTCAGAACAGAGACTATAACATGAATAAAGACAGTCATTCACAGTGATACAGGAGTCAGTTTATCAAGAGGTCATAACAGTCTAAGTGTTTACGCACTGATAACAGAACTCAAAATGCATAAAGAAAAACCTAATAGGACTACAAGGAGAAATAGACTATCCACATTTAGCATTTCTCAATCATCCACAGAACAAGTAGACAGAAAAGCAGTAGGAATATTTAAAATTGAGTAACATTATCAACCAACTTAATCTGACATGCCATCCAACAACAGCAATTTTTTATAAACATACATAGAACTTTTACCAAGAAAAGTCATAATCTGGATCAAATAAACAAATCTCAGTAAGTTTAAAGGATTCAAGTGATACAAGGTATGTTCTCCAACCAGATTAGATAAATTGCTTAGAAGGAAATTTACAACTCTAAATGCTTACATTGCAAAATTAGAGAGCTCTCAAGTCAACCATCTAAGCTTCCACCTTAAGAAACCAGAAAAAGTGAAAAAAAGAAAGCAAGTAAAAAGGAAATCATAAAAAAATGGATAATACACACAAAAAGAAAAATGATATAAAAAATCAGTATTTGATATTGAGAATATCAACAAAGTTGATAAACCAAACCAAATTTATCAGGAAAAGAGATAAAACATAAATTATCAATATCAGGAATGAGAGAGGGGAGAGAGATCACTACAGATTCTATGGATATTAAAAAGCACAATAAAATATTACAAACAAGTTTATGTCAATAAATTCAAACACTAGATGAAATGGACAAATTCCTTGAAAAACACAAATTACCAAAGTTCACTTACAAAGAAAGATATCATCCTATATTAAACACGCTGTATGTTTAGTTAAAAAACCAAAGAAAATTCCAGGTGTGGATGGCTTTATTGGTGAGTTATTCTAAACATTTAAAGGAGATATGATAAAATTCTATACAAACTCTTCCAGAAAACTCAAGAAGAGAAAAACACTCTTGAACTCATTCTTTGAAGTCTGCACTACCCTGATAAAATCAGACAATAACATCAATAAGAAAACTACAGACTAATATCTATCATGGAATATAAACATCCTCAACAAATTACCAGCAAATCAAATCCAGCAGCATATAAAACGGATAATATACTATGACAAAATGAACTTCATATTGAAACTGCAAGGCTGATTCAACATTCTAATCAATCAATGCAATTAACCATACCAACAGACTAATGAAGAAAAAAATACATGATCATCTCAATTGATTCAGGAAAAGGCATATGACAAATATGATATCCATTTATTTCAAAAACTCTTCAGAAACAAAGTATAAGAAGATAGTTTTCTAAACTTGATAAAGAGTGTCTGCAAAAATACCTTAAGCTAACATCATACTTAATTGTGACTGAATGAATTCTCACCAAATAAGTTATATACATAGTAAGTAAGCATGTGGAAAGATGCCCAGCATTAGGGATGATTAAGAAAATACAAATAACACCTATAAGCAACTGTTTGCAATCTGTAGCATTTTAATTTATAATTGCTAACATCTTGAAACAATCTAAACAGCTTTCAAATGGCAAATGGATAAAACAAACCATAATACACCCATGAAATCCTATTGATATATGCAACAATATAGATGAATCTCACAGCACTGTATTAAGTGAAAGAAGTCAGACTGAGCAGCTACACAGTATATAATTTCACTTACATGACATTCTGGAAATGGCAAAATTAATGAGATAATAAACAGATAAGGAGTTTCCAGGGACTGGGGGTGGGGAGAAGAACTGACCAAAAAAAGGGGCATGGGTAGATTTGGGGAGGTACTAAAACTGCCCTATAACTTGATTGTGGTGGTGGTTATACAACAAAGTTTTTTCATCAAAACTTGTAGTACTTTATACTAAAAGGTTGGATTTTACTTATTATAGCTTATACCCTCTTACTGTACATAAATCAAAAGAAAAATATTAAGCACCTGCTATCTATCATGGCTAAATACCAGCGATATAAACTTGAAAATAAAATCTCTGCCTTCAAGGAGTTCAGGAATAAATAGCAGTAATAACCATTTTCATTAATAATAATAGTAGCTATCACTTAAACAGGATTCACTACCTGGCACACATTGTTCTAAGTATGTCATCTATATTAACTTACATGATCCTACAAGAACCCAATGAGGACAGGCAGTATTTTTTTTTCTCATTTTACAGAAGAAAAAATTAGGCTGTAAAGAGATTGAGAAGCTGTTTATGGTCACACAGCAGGTAAGCGTACAGCCCAGATTAAAAGCCAGGCAAGACTGATTCTTTTTTTTTTTTTTTTGAGTTGGAGTCTCACTCTGTCGCCCAGACTGGAGTGCAGTGCAGTGGCTGCTCCTAGCCAACACAGCCTCAACCTGCTGGGTTCTGGGGATCCTTCCGCCTCAAGTCTTCCAAGTAGCTGGAACTACAGGCGCGCGCTACCACACCCGGCTGATTTTTTGATTTTTGTCGTAGAGATGAGGTTTCGCCAAGTTGCCCGGGTGGGTCTCGAACCCGCGGGCTCAGGCAATCCACTCACCTCGGCCTCCCAAAGCAAGGGATTACAGGCTGAGCCACCGAGCCTGGCAAGACTGTTTCTCATCTCAGCACCTTGAAATTCTTGCCTCCATTACTACAAAAAAAAAGTTATCCCAAACTAATAGAAATTAATGGCAAAGTTAAATTTCATAATCATCTTATAATTAAATTTTCCTTCTGTAAGGTCCTCTTGCTGGTCAAAATGAGGCAGTGTGAAGGAGAGAGAAAAAATACAGTAATCTGTGCTTTAAAAAAAAAAGTACATAGCCGGGCTCAGTGGCTCAGCCTGTAATCCCACGCCTTTGGGAGGCTGAGGTGAGTGGATTGTCTGAGCCCGCAGGTTCGAGACCCGCCTGGGCGGCAAGACCTCATCTCCACAATAAATCAAAAAATCAGCTGGGCGTGGTAGCACGTGCCTGTAATTCTGGCTACTTGGAAGGCTGAGGCGGAAGGATCACCGGAGCCCAGCAGGTCGAGGCTGCGGTGGCCGGGAGCGGCCACTGTACTCCAGTCTGGGCGACAGAGTGAGACTCCA